CGTCTGTGTTGCTTCTGAATCGGTTTAGGAGGCGTGAATGAACAGGTCTTGTGTCTCTTTTGAACTGAGATGTAAACTGTGTACAGTACTTTTAATGCAGATTTATCGTTGTGATGGTAAAAGCGTGCCTCTACAGTGCTTTCAGGACAGGCCAACGTGTGTTTTGTAAACACGGCGTGACAGTGAAGCAGGGCTCTTCTGGCCAAGTGGCTTTAGACAGATCACACCCTCACGCTGCAGCTCTCTGACTCTGCGCTGCAAACTCAAAACTCTTTTGGCAAGTTTCAGTAATCGAATCATATTTTGTCTTGTTTGTCGTGACTCGGCCATTTATTTTTAGAGCTAAAAGCTTTTGTTGCTAGGAGACTGTGTGTCTTAGAGGCTGAGTGAGGGAGGGAGGGAGGGAGGGACAGTATGAAAGAGAAAAGAAATGAAGAAAGGAAGCGATGGCTGCGGCGTTGAGGGGGAGAAAGGCGGAATCTGTGAAAGGCGAACGACAAAACGAACGAGCTATGAGTCAGCAGGGACATCTGCAACACATGCAGTGGGCATGGTTGCTATTTCTGTGTTCTTTGTCTGTGTGCTCTGTGCACCCACGCATGAACCCACTTACCTCTCGCCACTAACCTGTGTTGTGTATCTGTGTACTTTGTGAGATATTAGCTCGCCCACTTTGATTCAATCCCCTCCTCCCCGCTGTGCGTTGTATGTGTCACCGGGCATCTGCATGTACTACATGTGCACATGTGTGTTTTTCATCGGCGATTGTGTCACAACGCCTAACCTGTCCCCAGTGACAAGAGCCTTATTGTCCGCTGTATGAATCATATGCTTGTACCCCATTAGTAATCTGCCTTCAAATGGCTGTTAGCGACTATCACAGCCAGCTCGTCTGTCTTTTGGCTCTCTCTCCGAGCACCATTGGAGATCAGATAGCAGCATGTTGTTTATTAGTCACCGGGAGCGCGCCTGTTTTTCAGGATATTTTTTACTCTTCCTTACAATTGCTTAAGTTTTTTAGCTGCCAACTTTAAAAAAAGAAAATACTTATAGTTGTAGCCAGCATATTTGCAGATTTGGAGAGTGAAAGTCACGTCAGAAAACTTGCACTCCTTTAGTTTCTGTCACATGTATAAACAAAGTTGCAGTGTTGGTTACTCGTATTCAACAGGACCAAAGTTTCTCAAGCCCCCTTTTTTCTTTTTGTAACTCCAAAATCTGTGTGAGATAAGTGAAGGCAAATAGCTGAATTATATAACTGTTGTACCACCTACCTATTGCTGAAACATTATGTTAAGAGGGGCAGCCAATCAAAAGAAAGGTTGCTAAAACGAAGGTGGTATAGCTAGTATGGCTCACAGTCAATGAACTGAGAGGCTGCAGCGAGGCCCGACTGCAAGTTAAAGATTATTTTGAACCGTGAATCATGCAGAGCTACTCTGACAGTCCATGAATAAAAAAAAAAATATGTTGCAATACAAATTTAGATGACTAATGCACTTGGTTAGGTCAGTCAGTTTGAATTCATAAAATGTCTCCATCACTGTGATGTGATGACTCAGGCTTATGGATTGAGCCCCTTGATGCAGGAACATTTATGAAATATCATTAATTTGATGGGAGAGAGATGGGGGGCGTGATGAGTGATAGCATGTATTACTTTTGGTTTAGTAGACGAAGCAGTGCTGTGAAGTTTTCTTGCAAGATTTGGAGTGTGCTGAACAACAAAATGTTCTTAAATTTGAACATTACTCAACTGGTGTGTCTCCGTTACTTAGCCAGATGTTGATGCACAAGGAGCTTGCACCAGTGTGGCAGCATGCTGGTGTTTGCAGAATTTGAAGTCCTGTGATGATATTATGAATAGTTTTTCATGCTCTAAAGGATCTGCTTCCATGGTTGAGTGGTATGTGTATATGACTTCTTGTTATGTGGCTGCGCTGTGTATTGTAAACATCAGCCAAGTGCCTTTTTGTGGCTTTCTTTCTCTCTGTATGACTGATGTCTCCATAGGTCTTAGTTTACGCACTGTCTTTTGTTGTGGTTAGATGTTGCCAGTTTTGGTCGGTTATGCATTACTGATACGGTCTGCTTCTGCAGCTGATACTTACACCGCCATTTCCCTGACTTATGTATTCATGGTGAGGCCCAGCTCCACTTTGCACACCTGATAGTGGACTTTGGTTTCCAACTGGGTTAGTTTTTCCATGACTCACTTTGACTCCATTTACACCTGCTAATAAAATGTGATCTGTTAGAGAAAACACATGTTAATTTCAAAGTGGATTGTAAACACAAGCACCGCTGTGGTCTGAATTTGAATGTATCGCAGCACTGCGAACAGTATCAGCACAGGCAGTTGTATGCGAAAGCAAATCACACGGTGTGTTGAGGATGTGCTACCTGTTTGTGTGTGTGTGGTTAGGGATGATGTGACCCACTGTAGAGTTTGTCATCCACTCAAGCTTCACAAAACACCTTCACACGTGATTTGTTTCCGTCATTTGTTGCACTTTTAACTGGTTCACAGTGAAGGACTCAAATAGATACAAACACCTCTGTAGCAAAAATGACCTTTTGACAGAAACACTGTAAAAAGCCCCTTTCTGCTCCGATTAAAAAAAGTACATTTTTTGATAAACTGGCGTCTGCTGTTTTGTTTATTTCAAAGAAAAGAGCAAGTGTGCACAGATCCAGGCTAATTATTTTGGGTGCCAGACCCAAAACATAATATGTCTGCATGCTGTTTGGCTCGGTTCGTAAAACATTCATACAAAGGCAACATTCTGATCTCTCTCTTCTAGAGAAGGCCAAACCTACAGCCTTGGGCCTGTTTTAGACTTCTGCAGGCAGACTTTGTAGGGCCTACGACGTAACCTACGCAAGTGGCCGATGTCATTGCTGGCATTTGTGCTGGTGCATTATGTATTAATTACCTTGTGGTTCTGGTGTTTTATGTGCAATGCCAGCTGACAGAAACTAATAAAATGCTCTGACTTCTTTCCCTCATGGGTCTCTACTCTTTTCAATCTACTTCTTTGTAGATTCCCTCATGTTCATTACGCAATCGCCTTCCAGGAATTTGCTGACATTCATTAGTCTTTATTTTGATTCTATGGTTCTCATTCATTACATAAAGACAATGATTGTTATTTTCTCACTGATAGGTGAGGTGCACATCAGGTTACAGCGTAGGGCTTCAGATGAGTTTGCAGTTATTATGTAGCTACAGCATGAAGGACATAATGTTTGGACTTTTAGGAGTGTGAGCTCTTGTGTTGTAACTCATGAATGCAGTTTCCTGCAGCTATGAATGAAGCACTGTTAAAGAGCCACAGGTCTGAGCCATCATCAGATTTACAGCCATTTTCCTCAGACAGTGCTGTGACACTGAGTTTCTTTGATTTATTCTCAACATGGCTTCATTTTGGCCCATGCAGCCGAAGGGCCAGTGAGCTCATTCAATGGCAAGGCGTCATCCACAACTTACAAAAATCCCTATGATACTACACTTTGCAACAATAACTAAACCTCTAATAGTGTAACAACAGTCTTAAAGAAAACCTATTCATAACTGATCCCCATCCCAGTAAACAGTCAGTGCAGACAACAAGCGAAGCGCAATGAAAAAGTCCTAATTGATTTGAATCAACATCTGGACCCCAGGTCCACATACTGGAGTTTAGTTACCAGGTGTGCACCTTTTTATTGATTCTCACAGCTTATGCCCCTCTTTTCTGTTTTAATGTCATCTTATCTGGTTTTCATCTGGTATTTCGCCTATTTTGTGTGGTTGTTTTTTGTGTTATTGGCTGCTTTTATGGTGCTGCCCCAGAGCGCTTTCCTCTCACATGTTGACAGGGCCATAAAGGATAAAAAGAAATAAGTATTTCCCAGTTTACTGCGCCAATTTGTTGGTTGCATACTCTTATACATCGCATGGCTTTCTGCATAGCATGGTTATGCAATGGCACCTACCTTTCAGCATGAGTGTCTTGCAGTTTAATCAAGCTTGGTTCAACGGGCCACGTCACACAGCGTTACAGTCCAGCAGCCTTGAGCATATCGTTGTTAACAGTTCGCCGTCGTTGCTGTATAGATATGACAGACTTTGTAGAGTGTGGGAAACTGATTGTAACCTTGGTATTTAGGATAGTGTGTTTCTTTACAGTTACATAAACACACACACACACACACACACTCACAAAATTTAACATTGTTATATTGTGCCCATATGTTTCCCACCCTCAGCTTTCTCAGCCTGATTGCCAAGGCACATCTGGTCCTAATAAGGTGTGTTTGTGTGCGTGTGTGCGCGTGCCCCTTTGCTATGCAGCCTTTCAGCCTGGCCTTCTGTAGAAGTGGTGTTGAGTCTTTTACTGCCACCCACTGCTTTACAACACAAAGCCTATACTTTAAACTTTCGGGTAATAGTGCGTGTGCTCTGGTGAGATTGTGCTCTGATAGCAGTTATAAAAAACCACAGCTTATATTTTGTCTGTGCATATTTCAAGGCCTGTTAATCTGTTGTAACACTGCTGATTTTCCAGCTTTGATGCTGATAGCAGGGGAAGATTTGATATGACTGCAATCTGTGGGAACAGATTTAACCGAAAGTGCTCATCACCAGCTTTCGCTGAGGCACCAAAGCCTTGCAAGGAGATGTTTGGGGATTTCTTCAAGTTTTTTTTTGCTCCCATCAATCTTGTGTCTTATATCCTTTCTCAAATATTCCCCTCTCCTAGCTTAGCACAGTTCCTTTGTCACCTGTTATGCTCATAGTTTAAAATCCTGAGGGGTATTAGCTTTAAACAAAAGCAGTTTACAGCTGTTGTGATGTTGACCCTGGCAACAAAATGGCCGCAGTCCAGTCCAGTCGACAATTAAAGGCTTCAGAGGGATCATAGTTAATCACATGCAGATCACCAATAACATGACTCAAACACAAGACTTTTCCTTGTCACGATCATCCATCTGAACGCCTCTCTCTTTCACCCCAGGGTTTGCCTTCCCAGAGTGGGCCTACAAGCCAGAGTCGAGCCCGGGCTCCAGGCAGATCCAGCTGTGGCACTTCATTCTGGAGCTGCTCCGGAAAGAGGAGTACCATGATGTCATCGCCTGGCAGGGAGACTACGGAGAGTTTGTCATCAAGGACCCAGACGAGGTGGCCCGCCTGTGGGGGGCGAGGAAGTGTAAACCGCAGATGAACTACGACAAGCTCAGCAGAGCACTCAGGTGGGACTAAAGAGTGGAGGGATGGTTTTAACACGGGTCTAACAGGCGTCAGCTTCTCAAACACGGTTCACTTTATATTTTGAAACACACCTTCAGCAAGACTTTAACCATTCAAACAAGACTGCAACTCGCATTTATGAACAATATTTTCCACACATGAGATGAGTCTGGATTGTGCTTTAATGGTTCCCTCAGTTTATTTTATTTTTATTTTTTACTCCTTTACTCTCTTAGAGGTAAATACATTATGCATTACACCCTGCAGTCATTCTCAGGGATGAAACTTGCTGATACTACCAACATGAATTACTGCGTGTTTGTAGTGGCTCCCCTTTTGTGCCTCAAGGGTTTAAGGTTCAACTCCAGACAGGAACTTTTGTCCTCGATGCTTCAAATTTTCACTCATTATCTGGTCACCCAATACTTGACTCCGGATGATCGCAGGTCCCTGAAGTCTTTTAAAATAAATGTGATACATAGTTGGTTTAAAAAAAATCCCTTAAAATTTGTGTCTTTGCTCTAAATTCAGTTTGAAATGTGTTATTTTCATTGCACATGGAGAATTTTTGCCACACGATGCCACTTATTTCACACTCTCACACTTGGATCAGAAACAGTCCCACTCACCAACAGGCTGCACCCAATCATGGTTAACCTTGTTCACATATAGTCAGTGAATACTTAACATAGTTGTTTATAAGCAGAAAAGGTAAAAGTATATTTAAACACTTGGTATTAAAACAGCTTTTGTCTTTGTAGTTTGACCCTTTTGGTGATGGCTTCCTGTGTAAATATATACAGGGATAGTTGGCAATAGACCTAAAATGGTTTGTTTGTTTGTTTTTTAAAAGAAGTGCAGAAGTCTTTGGCTGGCAAACACTCAAACAGAGACACCTGAACCTGATGATGAAGAAGACGTTCGCCAGCCAGTCTGCTCATTAGTTTACGGAAATGAAAGATGCAATTTTAACAGCAAATGGCTTGAGGATAATTGTAACTCCTGATGATTAAAAGTGTTCCTGGAAATGATGAACAACATACTTTATTTTATCTGAAGTGACCTTTTCCCCCATTTGGAAAGTGTTTAGTTTTGTCCTTCATTTAATTAAAAGTGTTACTTAAAAGGTCTGAAAGTGTGAAATTAAAAAGTTAACCTTTGCTGTGCTTGCTACCTGGCGCCAGGTTGGTTTATTATTTTAGTAAATCATAAGCACAGTTACCTGTTGTTTCTAAGATGTTATCAGTCCAGTTCAGATCTGCACTACTTTAATGAGCTTTAGACTGTGTCGGAGTAAGCTGCAACACATTAGGTTAATGATGGTTTCTATTTACTTTAAATCTTTTTTTTTTTCCCCTCTAAATTATTCAGTTGGTCACCACTAACATCCCAAGTAACCAACCTGTAGCTAAGCTTAAAGTAAGCTTAAAGTAAGCTTAGGTCTACTCACTTTTCCGTACTGCTGTAGAAGCCTTCATCACCAAAGCCGAGCCTCGTTACACCTGAGTTTTATCCATTCCACATCAGGACTGGAGAGCTAGGATGGCTCGTATTTGTTGATCTATTAACACCAATGAAAAACAGCCAGCTTTTCCCAGCTAGCTGATACTAATGCTAAGCCATATACAGTGGAACCCCGACTTACAAATGCCCCATTTAATAAAAAATTCAAGTTACGAAGGCACTTGACGGCAATATTTCTGCCCGTGTTACGGCAAAATGCCCGTGTAACGAAATCCGCTGGCTCTGATTGGCTGAGCCCAGAATCCCTACAATGCCCACAATGCCTTCCGAATCATGTGACAACTTGTGCTTTGTTTTATTAGCCTATAACCTATCGTTCACTCAAAATGGGTGCTTCGACTTTGGAAAATTTTGTTTTTATAAAATCTATCCACAACGCAGGAGGGTAGACAGTTTCATAAATGTTAAGTTACAGCAGCTTGAATCGTGTTGTTTTGAACCTCGGGTGAACAAACTCAGTAAAGTGTGCTGGATTGATTTTTCAAATGGATCCTCTTTGAGGGTAGTAAAGTACATCAAACCACAGGGTTAGGATAACGGTCCATTCACACACAACAGAATTGGACTATGATTTATTTTTAAATTATACTGAGTCTCTTTTTTTGTTTTCTGTTCATTTGAACTTGCAGGTGTTGAAAACAAACTCGAATGATATTTGAAAAATTGGAGCTGAAGAATAGCTTTCATCATAGTTTACCATGAACTGTGCTCTATTTTACAGTGAGAGACAGCAGACAGACTCTAAACTATGGGGGGGGGGGAAAGCTTTTTTTCTTTATAATTCTTTTGAGATTTCTGTTTATTGTTCAGTAATAATTCATCATAAAGACATTTAGCTACATTTCTTACTTATTTTGAGCTCTTTCTTTTTAATTTTTCTGCCTTTTTCGTAACTTTGATGTAGATTTTGTTTGATTTTCAACAGTTTGCGAGGTGGAAGAAAAGGAAAAAAAAAAACAACTGGTGTGTAGTCGTGATTTGTGCATCTGCGCGGCATGCTGAAACTCCAGGGTGTCAGCCGATTTAGAAACGTACACCTTCACCCTCTGCAGAGCACATGTGGGATGCTGCAAATTTTTATTTAGCTTCCAGTCTGTTCTTGTGAACACACACACATCCAGTCACTGGTGTCGCCTCCTGTGTTGTAGGTTGGTGTGGGATATAGTTTGCTATGGTGATGACTAGTTATGCTGCCTCGTCACCACACATACACACACGCGCGCGCTCCTACAAACACACACAAACACTTAACACCTTGTTATATGTCAGCCCTCCTCCAGCCCATCTGTGTTGTTTGTTGCTTAAACTTTATTTTTTCCAACATAACTTCATATGCCTGCATATTTAAAGCGATGCTTTCCAAGCTTGAATTCAGATATCAACACCAGTTTGTTGATCAGAAAGGGACGATGATGATTTTCAAATTAGAATCAAGTATTTATTTTGCAGCATTGGTTGGCTGTTAGTATACCCAACAATAAAGATAACCAGTGCAACACAAGTTGGTGTTTCTGACTCATTTTAACTTCCGTTTGAGGTTGTATGGGTAGGGTGGCTAGCGCGTACACACATCCGCCACAATCCCCTAATCTTTTTTATTTTTATTTTTGCTGACTACTTTTTTGTCGAATGCATTAAGCGAGACAAACAACAAGCACAGCATCGATTCTTTCGAGCTCCGGCGCAGCTAATTGCACCTACGCCGGATAATGCTTGCATTTCAGAAGAAGCAATCGTCTGCATGTTGCTCAATAGTGTCCGAAACAAAAGCTTCATAAAGCTGCGCAGAGCGTATCAGTACAGGAAGTCGCACCCAGGAACGGCAGAGAGTCCGGTCAGTTTTCAAAATAAAAGACAAAATGTTACGCTTCTGAAATGTCCACATTTCCACCTTCTGATAGTTCTTGTTATTGCACTGTCCTGAAGAGTTTGTAACCCCAACTCGAAGACAAGATCCTCTCTAAAGATTCAATGATGAGGCCATTGAGCCAGGCATTAGGGAAGACATAATGAGAGAGGCTGGGACTAACTAGTTGGCTACCACTGAGCTTGGAAATTAAGAGAGATTCAACCACTTGCAGCCAAATACACAACAAATCCATCACTAAGAAGTCATTGTACATCATAAAGGCTCGGATTTTAATCCCCACTGTAGGAGCATTTCAAGCTTAACATGTTTAAAAGACAATCAGTACTAGCAGTTTTTGGTGAAAGTGTGGTTGCACCAAAGTCAAGTCACCAAACTGTATATTCTTTTTTTAAAGTTAGGTTTTATGAGTAAATGAAGCCATTCTGTTTACCAAATGGCCCAAAATAACAGAACGCACTAACAACTGCTAAGTAAAGCAGCAGACTCATTGCCTTAACTCTGTGCAGGCCAATGGTGCCCATGTGTGCTGTTACCCCCTGCAAAGACCTATTTTGAGCATAGAGGAAAAACCATCTGAAGTGACAACACATCAGGAAATATTTGGCAGCATTGTCTTTTAAGTTCAGTCTGAAACCACTGGGTGATAAACTGGGAGCCCCTTTGATGTCCTCTGTGAACTGAAACTTATTAAACAAAAACAGACCAAATGTGAGTGTGGGCATTACAGGGCTCTTATCCCCACGAAGGAACTAAGCCACAGAGAATTAACAGTATATTAACAGTCAGTTTGATATCTCAGCAGTTTCTTTCTCCCTGCTCTGTGTTTCACATCAAGGAGCAGCTGGAGCCAGGCTCTGCTGTGAATGCCTTTTCTGTGGTTTTCTAAACCTTTTTAACAACGAGCTGTTAATTAATTCTGACGTCGTCAGAAGAAAGTCCTCTTCATCTTTGATTGATGCTTCTCGCCGCCTTTTGAAGCAAACACGCGCCGGTACACACATGAACGTTTCTTCATTCGGTGCGTGTTATCGAGCGTATGTGTTTTTGGGCTCCTTCATATCTGCATGTGCGTTCGCTGCACAGAAGTCGCGTCTGTACGGTCCAAAGTCCTTTCTAGTTTGTTTGAAGGAAGTTCAAAGACCACGAGGCCTCGAGAGAACCGGGGCCCCACGATGTGAGACTGGCTGCCCCATGTTGACTCGGTGCTGTTTGAGATTGTGTATGCGTGTTTCTTTCACACATATGTGCCTGCCCTTTTCCCCGATTTGTTCAAAGTGCCTTCCATTTATCATGTCAGCGAACATTATGTCCACCAGCTTTCACAGCACGCACAGCCCTGATATTATTAAGACCCACACACAGATCCTGCCATTCAATGCTGTGTGTGTGCGCGCGCGTGCGTGCGTGCGTGCGTGCGTGCGTGCGTGCGTGTATACTGATTTGTTATGAGTTTTTCCACCTCTTTTGTTTGCACTGGGTTTTGCCTGCACACTCCTGTTAATTTTTCACCTCTACATAGTTCTCAAGTGTGGAAACAAATAGCAGTACATGCCATTTGATTTTGATTTGACTTCATATTTCAAATCAGCTACTTTACAGAAGGAGGAAGGAAATAAAAAAAACTTTATTGTTGTGAGGCTGAAGGCTTGCACAAAAGATTTAAGCGTCCACCAAAATCTTTGTTTTTCTTAACGCAAGGTTTAATTTACAGAGGTTTAATACGTAATTTGATTTATTAAATGGCCAACGAGTAGAAGAAAGGTAATACTGATTCATTGCCTAGTCGCACCCTGAGAGGCGTGTGCACCTTTTATTGTTAAGTTACTGTGATGCATAAAGGACAGTAAAGCTGTGTGGAAATGAGCCGTCGTTTGGCAGCTCCGTCAAAGTAAACTGACAGAAAAAGCTTCTTTCAGCTGCTCCCTAATTCACATGATTTCTCTATAGATTTTTATCCTTACACAAACCCAACGGGATTTAGGAAACCTAAAATGATGTGTCACACATTAATTTAGATTTTTAAAGATGTCCTGATACGTAAAACCTGAGCGTTGAAAGGTGGTGTCTCTTGTTTTTCACCTTTTTCTGTTTTCCCTCTAGTTTGCTGTGCATGTCGGTAGTTTTTGTTGTTGGCTTGCCTGTTTTCTGCCTGCGTCGTATGTTTGAGCCTTTGTGCCTGTTGTATATCTGCCTGTAGTGCTGTGTGTATGTGTCTGCGTTACATCTGCGTGGGCGTGCGTAGCAGTCGGCTGTCAGAAGAGGCCCTCCACTCATTGAGTCGCTGAGGGGCTGGGTGAGCTCCTGTTTCACTCACGGTTGTTCTCACTTGTTCCAGACTCCTCTGACTAATGCTCACACAGGAGCAGCTTCATTATTACCACTAATATTACATCCATGATTATTGGCTTTCTGTCACTTGCAGCGTGACTCATTGATTGGAGGAATATTTCACTTTGCAGTTACATCACTGCACAGTTAATATAAACGTATTGCGGCTGTTTCAACTGCACGTGTTTGGCTCTTGGGTTGTGTATGCATGTTATTTGTCCACAAATAAACTATTGATCTTTCTACGTGAACGGTTATATATGGATCAATGGCCGCATTAGAGGCAGGCACACAAGCAAAATACTCGTAGCGTTTTATATTCAGCCACCTCTGACGCCGGAGAGCAGCTCAATACAATTTATTAACACTAAGAGGCTTATTTTTAGCTCTGTATTCACAGAAATCCATATTTCTCTCTTAATATGTAACCACTGAGCTCATCTGCACATGATGCTGCCGATAATGATGAACAGCTTCTTAGATTTCTCACATTGAAGTGACCGGTCACAGCTGAATGAGAGACACTGATGCCCAAGTTTTTTGTAAAGAAATATGAATGTAGTTTGTTCCCGAGGCTATCGGTGAGTCACAGGGAGCCATTTTATCGTCTTTCAGAGCTCGCTATTCACTCCTCTGCATCGCTGTGTGTATTGACGATGACTAATACAGCCTTACTAATGGAGCCGCCTGGGTAAGACGGAGTCTGAACGGCTGTCTCACTTCCTTAAGTAATCCCAGAGAGAGCTGGAATTTAACTGCGAACAGCTTGTTTAATTGTCTGCTGTACACTGAGCAGTGTAAAGCTACGACGCAGGGAGCGCTCTGAACAGCCACACATTGGGCTTATTGTTTGTCGGTTTGATTTAACATGGCCAAAAACACCAATTCTGTAACATTAAGCATGAAAATCAACATTGAACATGAAAGTCTTGGTAAGTTGAAAGCCTGTTTGTGACCCTGAGGTTGAATGCAGCGGCTGTTCGTGTTTTATGTTCGTGTAGTTTTTCTCTCTCCTTATTTTAATAGCTGAAAATCTTGTAATGACTCTAAACATCTTTCCGCTCATTTTACACCACTATGCACAACTTCTAGAAGACAGCTGAGCTTTGATTTTGGTTTTAATATCCACAAAGGGGCTGCAGACTTAGTGTTTCTGATATACAGGCAAACATGTTGGCTAACGAGTGAGTTATCACTGGTGTCTTATCGTTCTGTGGCAGCTCAGCGCTGTGCTTATCCGTGCTTTCACACTCCTTTAAATGCGAGACTACAACAAAAGCGGCCACTATCAAAGTTTTACTACATGTTACTTAAGATATGTTAGCGTGCTGGGACATAACATTGTTTTTTGTCATTCTCTCTTCAGATACTACTACAACAAGAGGATCCTACACAAGACCAAAGGGAAGAGATTCACCTACAAGTTCAACTTCAACAAGCTAGTGCTGGTCAATTACCCCTTCATCGACATGGGCTCTGGTACGTTCACATCACTTTTAATTCAACCACAGGGTTGTTCCTGGCTCAGCAGGTCCACATGTAAGGAGTCTGTTACCGGGCTTAACTGAAGTGATGTTATATTTTTCCCATCTGATAAGAAAAAAAGCATTTTACGTTTTGAGTAAAGCGAGCTTTGGGAAAACGTTTTTATTTTGGTGGAAAGCCAAAACGTCTTTCATTAGCACCACAAAAAAGTGATTTTCAGTCAAGGTGGGGGCTGTGGGAGGTTGGAGACACTTTACGAGGTGAACTTTAGTCTTAAAACACACGCTAGTCTGGGAATAAATCCCTACCTGATGGCCCCTTTCCCCACCAACTCCACCTCCTTTTTTCCCCTCGTTTTCTTTTTTCTTTTCCTTTCCTTTTTTTTTGGATTTCTACTTAAAGTTAAAAATTCTCATCATGTTTTGATAATTTAAGCTGATAATCCTGTTAAATAATTAATTAAATTACCATAATCGATGAGATTAATTATTACTATGTTATTATCCTAGCTGTGCATCCCTACATGTGCTCTTTTCTTGTACACATGCTTTCTCAGCTGCTGCAGCAGGAATTTCCAATAATTGAACTTTACTTGATGGCAGGAGGAGAAATTCTTAAGTTTTGCAGGAGCAGTTGGGCATTAACGTGTTTTTGACGTGGCAAAAGAAACTGCAGCTCCCGGGGAGGCGGTGTTTGCTCCCACCGAGCCTCCGCTCTGACAGGTTTACAGCAATCAGCGACTAGCTGAGTTCATCACTGTGTTGCAGAGCTTGCGAATGTGGTGCTGAGACCTGCTACAATTCCTGCATCCGGCACATTTTCGAGCTCACAGGCTGCCCCAGCAGCCCTTCTAACACTTCACTGACACCACCTCGTGTTGCAGTCTCTGCACCTTGTTTATGTAGTAGGATGTTATCCTTACCTGTTGGTTAATTTGGCGACAACCTTGAGGGTTCAGCAGGTATCATGTCGGTGAATATCTGCTCTTCTCGTAGACTCATGGATGCTCAGCTCATGTCGTCTGAGCTTGGTTAGCTCACGTAGTTATCTGGATTTTATCTCTCGATTTATAATCCGGGCCCTTAAGCAGGATTTTGGGTGCTCAGAATACTGAAAACAGAGATAATTTCCATTTATTTAGTGACATATAAAGATAAAGGGCTCGAGCTGAACATGGGCCATGTTTAAGAGTGTTATTAAAAATAGTTTTCAAGTGTCTGTGATTTAAATAAACGTGGCTTGTTGGCTCACCTTCTGACAGCTACTGCGAAATATGACTCTCATAGTTTTTTGTTGTTTCTTTTTATACAAAACAGTTTTTAGGTGTTGATTTTTCTCTTATTTCTCAGTAAAGATACCAGCAACGCGTTTGCCATGAACAGAAGATTATATTCTACTGCAAATCTAAATCTTTTTCTTTTCATTGCCCTGACTTTGGTTTGAAATCGGAGAAAGAATGCTTTTAAAGCCAACAAAGCCCAAAAGAGTGTATATAACAGACATTCAAATATTATTGTCTGAGAAAGTTTCCAGTCTGTGCGGTGGGGGGGCCTCACTAATTTACTTGCCAAAGACAAATATTGTAGGTAAAGACTCGAACGTACTAATCCACCCTGCCTTGGTTACAGATGACGTTCACTGAATTTAATTTACTTTTTTTTTCTTTTAGTCTGAGCTGGATGCCATCCTAGTGAAACGTACAGCGTGTAAAATTCGTGCGCGCACGCCTGAGTGTGCCACGTCCCAGCTTCGTCCCAATCTCGAAGCCGACTCTCGTTCTGGTCCCGGCCACCCAGTGTAAACACAGCCCATATGGAGCGTTAGATCCTGGGTGACATAAGTGCAGCACGAAACTTTAATTATAGCCTCCGTGTGATGTGGCCCACACACTGACATGTTGTGATATGATGGTTTCATGCGACGGTTGCACGCACGCCCACGTCAATCTGGATCGATTGGTGAGCACAGACGCGGCGAACATACATGCACGCATGCAGTTTTTCTCTCTGCGCTCGTCATCGCTGACACACATGGCAGATGTGCTCAGAAACCTCACTCAGCAGCTCTGGAGGGGGAAAAAAAAAACAGAAGAGCCCAACCCATGTTTGTGATGGCAGTAAGAGCAACTTTTCCAATATTTAATTCTGGCACGTGCTCGGATGCCAAGAATTTATTGCAGTGCCACAGTCTCCCTGGCGAGGAGGGGGAGAGGAGGAGGGGGAGCGAAGGAGAAGGGAACTTGTGGCTTAGTGTGTAACCCGCTGTTTTTGTGTGTGTGTGCGCCTGTGACCCTCTGGTTAAAATAAAACCTCCTGTCATTAGTGACTTTTCCCATTCTCTTCAGGTTCAGAGGGTAGTTTGTGGAAATTTTAGAAATGTAAAAATCTAAAATAAGTCAGCTCGATGTTTCAGCCAGTGTTTTACGAGCTAGACTGAGGTAACTTAGGCCCAGGGAGGATTGGGAAAAATGTCTTCAGATAGTCCACAGTGCTTTCATATTACTCCTGTGCATCCATTCACCAGCTTCCAGTGAAATTCAGAGGTTTTTTAAAGCACATTATTTACATGAAAGCTCGAACATGGCCTGGCTCCTGTTTCTGTAGCACACCTGCTAAGATCTTATTCTGGCATTCGCTCTTATTTTTAAACCAGTTCACAGACGAAAGGATGTATATGTAAAACTTGGTGACATCTGTTTGATTTTTGCTTCCTCACAGGCCGAGGAGTCCCCCAGAGTGCTCCGCCCGTGCCGTCCGGAGGCACCCACTTCCGTTTTCCCCCCTCCACACCATCCGAGGTCCTCTCATCCACAGAGGAGCTGCGCAGCCCGGGAATGTTCAGCAGCGTGGGCCGCCGCATGGCCCGCGGCTCCGTGAGCGACTGCAGCGACGGCACCTCCACCAACTCTGAGCTGGAGGAGGCTGTGGGTGCAGAGGACAGGGTTGGGGGTCCTGAGAGAGCTTTCAGGAGTCTCCTTCCCCCCCGCATGCCTCATGAGTCTCTGTTCAGGGTCTACGGTGGAGCCCCAAATCCTGGGCTCCCCAGACCTGCTCCCAGAGTCCACCCAGAGCCTCTGTCCCCATTCCCCATCTCACCCCTACCCGGCTCTGGAGGTCTGCTGGCCCCAACTCTCTCCCCAGCCCTGTCTATGACCCCCACCCCTCACCTCTCTTACACCCCGTCCCCCTCCATGTCGTCCCCCATGTTGGGCTCCCACTTCTCCTTCAACCCGGAGGACATGAAGCACTACCTACAGGCTCATACCCAGTCCGTCTACAACTACCACCTCAGCCCCCGAGCATTCCTCCACTACCCCAATATCGTTATCCCACAGCCCCACCGCCCCACCCCCGAGAAACCGGCCGCTACACATCACCTCCACGGCCCTCCCATGCCGCTCTCTCATTCCCTCAGTCAGCAGCCCGGAGGCGGAGAGGAAGGACACCAGCATCCATCGCCATTCAAGTTCAAGCTGCAGCCACCTCCGCTCGGACGCAAGCAGAGGGAAGCGGGAAGCTCAATGGCCGCTTCTTCCTCCTCCTCTTCCAGCCAGTCCTCCTCGTTTACAGGGTCCAGTCAGATGACCAATTCTCTGCTGAGCAGAGGGCCGCCTAATATCAAGGTGAGTCTCCAAGCACACGTGCATGAGCCAAAACTGAGTTTGCATCACATCTCGTAAGACTGAAGGTGCAACTTGGTGTCCAGAAATTTCAGCCCGGCAAATCCACAAAAGTTACAAATATCTCTGAAATATCCTCTTCAGCTGGGTCACATTACAGCTTTATGTCATTTAGCTCAAACAAACTGTTTAATGTGTCACCAGAAATATATTTAAGAAATTCTTTCTCTCCAGGTGGAGCCCATTTCAGACATAGAGTCAGAAGAAGATGTGGAGGTGACCGACATCAGCGAGGAAGATGAAAAGAATCATAACGATGAGGACAATGAAGGCGATATCTTCACACCGACAGCTGGCCACAACAATCACTATCAGCTAAACAACCATCACCAGGCTAACGGAAACAGCAGCAGCCCCTCTGCTCCTCTTCCTCAGAACAATAACCCCGACGATGACCCCGACGATGAGGTCTTCAAGACCCCCGCCACGCCTCCTATCGGTGGGGGTGGTGGCCTGGCCTTCCCTCTGATCAGTCTGAAGAGCGAGCCGGGGAGCCAAGCAGCTCCCATCAGCCCCGGAGGCACGCGCTGCATCCCGCTGAAACTTCGCTTCAAGCGCCGCTGGAGCAAAGACCAGAAGATGGAGGCGGACGGAGAGAGGGACGAGGCAGAGGACAAGAAAGTGCGGGCTGAAGGCGAGGAGGAGGCGGAGAGAAGAGGAAGCGAGGTGGAGAACGGAGGAGGACGAGGAGAGGGGGTTATTTTGGGGCTAATGCTGCCGCCGCCTCCCACCCAGCGCAGAGCGAGCTCGGAGCTGCAGAGGGCCACAGCGCAGCTGTCTCTGGAGAACTCCGGCTGCTGAGCTCCACGCGTGCACAGGATCTGACTTGGAGACAAGACCTCGGATAGTCTCGTCGGTCCTCGCCAGCAGTAGTAAACGTAGCAGGATTTGATTTGACGCAAGAGTTCGTTTGATGCTAAAATGGAGACAAACGCTTAAAGGTTTAATGCGCTTTGATTTAGGTCTTCAGCTTCTATGTGAACATGCGTGTGTATCATATGCAGGAATGTGTGTTTTTGTGCAATAATTCGAGGAGTCGTTGGTCTTTTTCCTCGTACACTTCTTAAATTGCAGAGCAAAATATTTTCCTTCATATGAAACACCAACATGTTCAAATAGAGAGAAAGATTTGGCGGCTTTGTTTCCGTTTTCGCATCGTCACGTCTTTTGGCGGTCAGTACTGTCAGCAGGTAGCTGCTCGGCATTATGATGTATGTAAAAGCTTGTGTTGCCTCTAATGTACAGTAAGGCGAGACGCCTCGCATCTCACCAGATGCGGTGGACGCCGTCTCTCCTGTGACTCGAACACTAAGAGATAACCAAACTTAGATTGTACATGGATTTTTGCCCACTTCTATTTCTTTTAACATTAGAGTTCTGCAGAGAGGGCGTCTGCTCTTTAATATCCATTTGCACACTGCCTCATCCATCCCTCCACACCCTCACAGTGCCAGTAAGGTCTGCCATGGTTCCCCCCACATCGCATCTGTGCCCAGATTACGTCTTTGATGGGATTAATGGGTCCTTCTTCTGGAACTCTGAGACAAAATACAAGGGTGCAAAGATCCAGGTTGTAAGAAAGTAGAATTCCCCTCTCTCCTTTGTACTCACCATAACAGACAGTTCCTGATTTTAAAAAAGGAAGAAAAAAGAGACCTTTAACCGCCCTGATGGAGATTATAGAAGTGCCTCTCTGTCTGCACCCGTCACCTTGCAGTTCCTTACAGGACGGAGAGCTGTGAGCTAAAAAAGAGCCGACCTCGCTCCGAAGGATCTTACGGACTTGAGGTGATTAGAAAGAGCTCAGCAATCAGCGGGGACACCACGGGACTGAGGGGCCTCCTCGTCCTCGGCTCGTTCGCTGTACAGACAAGAGATGAACGAAGCTGAAAAGGAGAGGACTGTTTTCCTGACCCGTCGCACAAGATTGTTTGCAAATTAATTCGACGTTGTACAGCAAAAAGCATCCGGGTCTGGGAAGAGAGCGGCGGATATTTCTCTCCAATTTTCTCTTCGGTTGTTGCGGAAATGAGGAAGCATCCACTAGCAAGGCTGTAATTACACACACTCCCACAGAAACAAGTGTGTGTGTTTGTGGACCCAAAGCTGGTGCACTAACCTCGAGGATACAGAGGGTTTCTCTGCTTTTTATGTCCCTGCGTGACTTCGCACAATCACAGAGGGGTTTTTGGAGGTTTGATGGCGTCTGATTTAAAAACTCTCGTCTGCATTCCCCTGATTTGTTTTTAGGACTTCTGTCAAAGGACGTTTGTGCCTCTTGAGGACGTGGACAGTATTTTAGGGCATTTTTGCAGTGATCTGAGGGCTTTCTGTGTTTTGGATATAATCTGTTCACGTGATGTTTTGTTTTTGTATTTGAGAAGCAGCGATTCGTCTAACGGCGGGGTGGGTGGGCGAACAAGAACGGGAACCATGAAATGAATGTCGAGCATCAAGGTTAACTCAGGCAAACCTTCACTGAGATGTTGCTATAACAGCTAATTTTTATGTCGTTTTATTCAGAGTTTTAAACAGAAATGTGCCCGTTTTAAAGAACAACAGGTAGATTGTGCCTTTTTTTTTTTTTTCCCTCGAGTTTTATTGACCTACCCCCGGCTTAATGTTTTATCTCACACACTCACAGAGTACCACCATGCCTTCTGCTTTTGTAAAAGATACAGAATAAGTAAATCTACACATATATATTTTATTCAAATATATATTGAATTCAAATATTATATTTCAATATGGTCATTTGATACAAATCAGGAGAATCCTACTATTTTTAATGGTAAAGATGTGTGTGTGTATATACTCTAATGGGCATATTATTACCAGTATAATTCAGCCTTTGCCTTCTCACCCTTGCCTTCTCTTTGACCGTTGAGCTGCAGCGACAAAAGGCCCCTGGTATCAGAGTTTTATATTTATATTGTTCAAAAAAACGGGGGGGAAGCAGTTATTGTGTATTCAGGGGACGGAGGGTGTGACTTGGAGAAAGGAGTGAACTTTTAACCCGGTGGTTCTCGAACTTAAAAGTTCACACCTCACACGCTTTTTTGTTGTTGTTTTTTCCCTTATCAAACTTTCAGGCATCAAATTTGTTCGTTTTAGTTCCACTTCATGTTCCACAGTTTGAGACCTGCTGATTTAACCTGACCCGGGTTAACTCATTATGACTCTGTTATCTGGTGTGTTTGTTTTAATGCCCGTGGAGTGGCAGCTGGGTGGAGTTTAACCACCGCAACACGGAGTCTGTCGCAAGAAAGGCAAATTTAGGAGGGGGTTGTCCTCCCGTTTGCTCGCTCTCCGCCCGCCTCAAACTTAAAAATCAGCTTAAAAGAGGTGAAGGTCGCAAAACAGGGAGCGGGGAACGGACTCGTGTGTTCTGATTGGACGGCACAGGTATTCAGCTTCATGTCGCCACATGAGGTCAGCAGGGCCACAGCTGTGGTAGGACTGGACTTTGACTGAGGATTCGAAGCTTTGTGTGTCTGTGCTGATCTGAAGCCTACACACACACACAGTACGATGGTTAGCGAGGCTTTACTGTGGCTACAATAAAGGGAAACATGACATCACACCTGACATCAGACGCCTCCGCAGTCTTTTGGCACTGCCATAGAAACTGCAGCCAATCACACGCAGCGAGGAAACTGCATCAGTAAACCTCAGGGCAGAGTGGAGAGAGAGAGGGACTTCCCATAATCTGACTCGCTCATTCTTGTCTGTGTGTGTGGTTTCTATGGTTAAGCCGTTTATACACACACACACACACACACACACACACACACACACACACACACACACACACACACACACACACACACACACAGAGCTTTTTAGCCCAGTCTGCAGAGTCTTGGTGCAGGTTTTAGTCCTGTTTGTCCAACCAGCTCCAGTCTCAAATCCATGTCCTAAACCAATCATCAGCTGTCTCCATCAGGCACGTGGTACATGTCCACAGGGGTGTTTTGGACACACTTTTGAAGTTGATGAGCAAAAATCCCACCAGCTCTGATGAAGGACCCTGACAGCGTAGAGTCTGCATATCTGCTCACATGCATACACTTACCTAAAGACAGAGCACCTCCGGCTTTCTCCATTCATTGCGTACAGCCTAGCGGGATTGCCTGGAGCTTGATTTGCTCTCACAGGTGTCACATTGCACCGGACACCCCTGATTTGTTTAAAGCAGCCTCATCCTGGTGTCACCTTTGGCACCAGAAACACCTGTGGCCTCATTTTCAGGGCTCTTCTCTCGAGCAGTGTTGCTCTCTTAAATCCCACTCCTCCTTAAATTTGATTGGTCAGAGAGAGAGGTCACAGTGATGGGGAAAAACCTACACCTTAAACTCTGTGGGAACTTCAAGGACAGATGTAGCAGTTAACACAAGTCTGGTAGAGGAAAATAAAAACACCCGAACTGTTACACCTGTGCTGCCTTACCTGACAACAGAATAACAGTTTCCCACCAGCTTCACATTTTCACTCCTCAGCCTCATCAGTGCTGTTCTTACCATTTTTCTTCTGTATTATTTCAGACGTATTACTGTTACTCTTGTAATTATTATCTTATTAACATTAATAATTTTTTTTAAATTGCATTGTATCCTCTCGCCACGACCCGGCCTCTTCTCCATTAATTCCTGGTTTTCTGTGAGTTTGCGCTCTTTCCGTAACTAGTCGGCTTCAGTGCAGTCTTTATTTTTTATTATTTTTCTTTTAATTACGCTGATTTTATAACCGTGTTACCGTGGACAGGAGCGGGGTCACATTAACCCCCCCACGTGCTCTACAGCGAGGGGGTCAGAAACAGTCATTTTCATTTTATGATGATTTATATATATTTTCCCTTTTTTTTTTTTTTTTTTTCCTTTCCTTTTTTGGAGGACTCTGTAAGAAAACAAAGAGCATTGTACTGTTTAACCATTTTATTATTTGCAACGTGTCCCCCTGTGTTTTCACTCGGGTCTCTGTCTCTCCTCTCATGTCCACCTCAGCGGTGAGCGCTCACTCCAGAGGACAGACGGAGACTTTTTTTTTTTTTTTATGTCATGGAGGATCCACATGTACTTCTGTTTCACTGCTATCTGTTCATCTTCATTTGTAATTAAATAATAATCAGGGTTCATTAAAAAAAGGTCAGTTTCTGTCTTTATTTCATGTTTCTGCCACTGAAAACACAATGGGGAGTTTGTTTACTGACTTTGATGTTAGCTGGAGTTTGAATTCAGGAAAATTTTAAATTTACTGAAATTTTTTGTAGATATTTTGACTGTAGAGGAGTAAAATATACCCAGATACCTGGTTTGTTGTACCATTATCTAATATTTTCAGTAAAAATACACATTTAGAGTGGTAGGTGCTCATGTAAAGTATATCCAAAACCCTATTTTGGTAAGGGGCAGGCAATCCATGGAGTAGGCTTAGGAAGTAGGTGACCTGACGGTGCTTCCTTTTGTCAGAGGTGCTGCACTGTTGTCCAAATAAGCATCATTTTAAACTGTGAATCATGCAAAGCTACTGTAGTAGAGTGTAAATTTTTATGATTGCCGCCCCCTTTTTTTTAAGGTTGGGATAAAGCAGTGATTCTAAGGCATTTTATACTATATTGTTTAAAACAAAAAAACAAAAAAAACCGCGCAAGCACTTTGCAACAGTGGGAAGGAAGAACGCCCTTTTAACAGGAAGGAACCTTCAGCACAGCCAGGCTCAGGGAGGGTTGAGAAAACCGACATGCTGCAGTGGCACAAACTCGTCTGGTGTTGTGCTTTGTAGCGTACAGTCGCTACAAAGATGGCTAGCACCTAGTCATCCACAATTTCATCATTAGATGGTAAGCCTCGTGCTCACTATCTGATGATAAACTTTACATTGTGCAGATACAGAACTTATAACACCTCTCAGGGGCCACATGTCTATGATTCAGTTCCTTATAAAGATCATCTATGCTATTGAGATCTAGAGACTGGCTAGGACACTCCATGACCTTAATGTGCTTCTTCAGCCACTCCTTTGTTGCCTTGGTGGTATGCTTTGGGTCACAGTCATGCTGGAAGATCCAAACACAGCCCATCTTCAGTACTGATGGAAGGAGGTTCTCGTTGAAGATTTTACAGTACATGGCCCCTAAATGCAGTGAAGTCGTTTTGTGCTCTTAACAAAAACATAAAGCCAAACCGTAATGCTTCCACCTCTGTGCTTGACTGTGGGGATGGTGTTCTTTGGGTCATACTCAGCACTTTCTCCCAAGCGTTATCGGAATCATTTAGGCCCGGGGTGGGGAACTCCAGGCCTCAAGGGCTGGAGTCCTGCAGATTTTAGATCTCACCCTGGGTCAGCACACCTGAATCAAATGATTAGCTCATTACCTGGAATTTTAAGACATGCCGAGGAAGTAATTTAGCCTTTTAAATCAGCTCTGTTGGATCAAGAACACGTCTA